AACAGCCCCACACATATGATACTGAATCTGACGTTGATGATTTTTAGAACAATTAATCCCACTGAAGGTTTAAGAGCACTAGAGACGTACATAGTGGTGTGTGCGCTCCTCAGGGCAAGTTGGTTGTGAAACTTCTAACTGTGGCAACATGATTCTGAACTTTGGACTTGGTCGAAAAGATCTAAGACAGATAAGGTCTCAATTGGTATTTACGTTGAGACAGATGGCAGCGATTGTATAGATGTGAATAGTTTAACCTTTACGTTTTAGCCTTTTGGCGGAGCGTGAGGATCATTTGACGTCATCTGATATAGAGTTGATGCAAATGGTGGCGGTTGTTGAGTTGACTAGGTAGAAGTTGAACTTCACGTTGAAGCTGATAGATATTATCGTAATGCTGAAGTCAACGCCCAGTTATAAACCTACTGCCATTGTATTGCGTATTGTATTGTAGATCATTCTATCTGGGAATAATCTCTGGGGAGGTATTACTTTTTCCTAGTAAGACCTGGTACGAGATGTGACTGTTTCCTAGTAAGACCTGGTACGAGGTTTTACTTTTTCCTAGTAAGACCTTGTACGAGGTTTTACTTTTTCCAAGTAAGACCTGGTACGAGGTTATAGTTTTCCTAATAAGACCTAGTACGAGGTTTCACTGTTTCCTAGTAAGACCTAGTACGAGGTTTTACTTTTTCCAAGTAAGACCTGGTACGAGGTTATATTTTTCCTAATAAGACCTAGTACGAGGTTTTACTGTTTCCTAGTAAGACCTAGTACGAGGTTTTACAGTTTCCTAGTAATACCAGTACGAGGTTTTACTTTTTCCTAGTAAGACCTGGTACGAGGTTTTACTTTTTCCTAGTAAGACCTGGTACGAGATGTTACTGTTTCCTAGTAAGACCTAGTACGAGGTTTTACTGTTTCCTAGTAAGACCTAGTACGAGGTTTTACTGTTTCCTAGTAATACCTAGTACGAGGTTTTACTTTTTCCAAGTAAGACCTAGTACGAGGTGTTACTGTTTCCTTGTAAGACCTGGTAGGAGGTTTTACTTTTTGCAAGTAAGACCTGATGATTTAAGTAACCGATGGAATTTGGACTTCGTGTTACAAACGTCCAATGTTTTAAAATCGAAGACAAGAAATGAAACCTTTTCATTATGGATGACGGGAATCTTCACATATCGTGTTAAGTTTTGTAACTCACTGTTGTCCCACTGAGCCACCGGTGCAGGAGCTCAAGAAAGGTTCAATTTTAGTTGTCATGACTTAGTTTCTGCTCTCGCACGCTTTGAACGCATTCCTTTTATACCGCGACGCACTGTATTGTTTCACTATAAGATATCTCGACGTTTTCTTATTTTTTCTGTTATTTCTTGGATTTAGACGTTTTCACGTAAAACAAGATTCAACCTTCAAGCCAGAGTATCTATGTGAAGGTCAGACAATCAACATACATCCTTCACACCGAGACTGAGTAAGCCCACTTGGTACCAGCATTATTCCCGTCAGTATATATAGATTCCATCGAACAGTGTATGTTTCCGGAGCTAAAGATAATAATAGTGACAGTAAACTGTTCCCCATTCGGTGATAAGCGTTATCTTTGAACGTCACATTAATAATAGAGAAGCCTTTTCGGTGGGAACTGTTATAGTATATCCACTCGGGGACCAGGAAAGAAGTTTTCTCATCTGTCTCGAAACTATGACGATTATTCATATACAGTCAAAGACCATGGTGATAGCTGATGCGGGTGACGGTATCAGCTACATCGGCTGTCCGCTAGAGCGTACATGGGTGGGCCACATCGGCTGTTGACTGGGGAGTCTCACGTTGTACATGGGTGGGCCACATCGGCTGTTGACTGGGGAGTGACACGGTGTACATGGGTGGGCCACATCGGCTGTTGACTGGGGAGTGACACGGTGTACATGGGTGGGCCACATCGGCTGTTGACTTGAGAGAGACACGGTGAACATGGGTGGGCCACATCGGCTGTTGACTGGGGAGTGTCACGGTGTACATGGGTGGGCCACATCGGCTGTTGACTGGGGAGTCTCACGTTGTACATGGGTGGGCCACATCGGCTGTTGACTGGGGAGTGACACGGTGTACATGGGTGGGCCACATCGGCTGTTGACTGGGGAGTCACACGGTGTACATGGGTGGGCCACATCGGCTGTTGACTTGAGAGAGACACGGTGAACATGGGTGGGCCACATCGGCTGTTGACTGGGGAGTGTCACGGTGTACATGGGTGGGCCACATCGGCTGTTGACTGGGGAGTCTCACGTTGTACATGGGTGGGCCACATCGGCTGTTGACTGGGGAGTGACACGGTGTACATGGGTGGGCCACATCGACTGTTGACTGGAGAGTGTCAAGGTGTACATGGTTGGGCGATATCGGCTGTTGACTGGGGAGTGACACGGTGTACATGGGTGGGCCACATCGGCTGTTGACTGGAGAGTGTCACGGTGTACATGGGTGGGCCACATCGGCTGTTGACTGGGGAGTCTCACGTTGTACATGGGTGGGCCACATCGGCTGTTGACTGGGGAGTGACACGGTGTACATGGGTGGGCCACATCGGCTGTTGACTGGAGAGTGTCAAGGTGTACATGGTTTGGCGATATCGGCTGTTGACTGGGGAGTGACACGGTGTACATGGTTGGGCCACATCGACTGTTCACTGGGGAGTGACACTGTGTACATGGGTGGGCCACATCGACTGTTCACTGGGGAGAACAACAGGACACATGGGTGGGCCACATCGACTGTTCACTGGGGAGTGACACGGTGTACATGGGTGGGCCACATCGGCTGTTGACTGGAGAGTGTCACGTTGAACATGGGAGGGCCACATCGGCTGTTGACTGGGGAGTGACACGGTGTACATGGGTGGGCCACATCGGCTGTTGACTTGAGAGAGACACGGTGAACATGGGTGGGCCACATCGGCTGTTGACTGGGGAGTGTCACGGTGTACATTGGTGGGCCACATCGGCTGATGACTGGGGAGTGACACTGTGTACATGGGTGGGCCACATCGGCTGTTGACTGGAGAGTGTCAAGGTGTACATGGTTGGGCGATATCGGCTGTTGACTGGGGAGTCACACGGTGTACATGGGTGGGCCACATCGGCTGTTGACTGGGGAGTGTCACGGTGTACATGGGTGGGCCACATCGGCTGTTGACTGGGGAGTGACACGTTGTACATGGGTGGGCCACATCGGCTGTTGACTGGGGAGTGACACGGTGTACATGGGTGGGCCACATCGGCTGTTGACTGGAGAGTGTCAAGGTGTACATGGTTGGGCGATATCGGCTGTTGACTGGGGAGTGACACGGTGTACATTGTTGGGCCACATCGACTGTTGACTGGGGAGTGACACGGTGTACATGGTTGGGCCACATCGACTGTTCACTGGGGAGTGACACGGTGTACATGGGTGGGCCACATCGGCTGTTGACTGGGGAGAACCACGTTGTACATGGGTGGGCCACATCGGCTGTTGACTGGGGAGTGACACGGTGTACATGGGGGGGCCACATCGGCTGTTGACTGGTGAGTGACACGATGTACATGGTTGGGCCACATCGGCTGTTGACTGGAGAGTGACACTGTGTACATGGGTGGGCCACATCGGCTGTTGACTGGGGCGAACCACGTTGTACATGGGTGGGCCACATCGGCTGTTGACTGGGGAGTGACACGGTGTACATGGGGGGGCCACATCGGCTGTTGACTGGTGAGTGACACGGTGTACATGGTTGGGCCACATCGGCTGTTGACTGGAGAGTGACACTGTGTACATGGGTGGGCCACATCGGCTGTTGACTGGGGCGAACCACGTTGTACATGGGTGGGCCACGTCGGCTGTCGACTGGGGAGTGACACGGTGTACATGGGCGGGCCACATCGGCTGTTGACTGGTGAGTGACACGGTGTACATGGTTGGGCCACATCGGCTGTTGACTGGAGAGTGACACTGTGTACATGGGTGGGCCACTTCGGCTGTTGACTGGGGCGAACCACGTTGTACATGGGTGGGCCACGTCGGCTGTTGACTGGGGAGTGACACGTTGTACATGGCTGGGCCACATCGGCTGTTGACTGGAGAGTGACACTGTGTACATGGCTGGGCCACATCGGCTGTTGACTAGGGAGAACAATAGGACACATGGGTGGGCCACATCGGCTGTTGACTTGAGAGAACAATAGGGCACATGGTTGGGCCACATCGGCTGTTGACTGGAGAGAGACACGGTGTACATGGTTGGGCCACATCGGCTGTTGACTGGAGAGTGACACGGTGTACATGGGTGGGCCACTTCGGCTGTTGACTGGGGAAAACAATAGGGCACATGGCTGGGCGACATCGGCTGTTGACTTGAGATCACCAAAGGGCACAAGGGTGGGCCACATTGGCTGTTGACTCCCACCGCTTTCCCAGATGGCTTGATTTAACTCTCGCTATGCTGATGATTCAGGGCACACCTGTGTTAATCCATGTAGTAACATCAACGGCCAATAATTGTTGGACTTATCTCCGTCACACGTGGTATACCCTATGTGTAAACCAGAAGGTTTCCCTGGCTTGCAGTGAGTACTATGTATACACTGTATCATTTGGTTGCGGACAAGTATGTGTACATTTATTTACAAAAGATGTGGTTTAGAAAGTACGTCTCCTTAATGGATTGCCACGAGTCTTCAGCAACTCATGCTTAACGTAAGAGGCGACTAACGGGATCGGGTGGTCAGGCTCGTTGATTTGGTTCATGCATGTCATCGTATCCCAATTGCGTAGATCGATGCTCATGATGTCAATCACTGGACTGAATAGTCCAGATTAGATTATGTACAAATCGCCATCATTTAGCGCCATTGAATACGTTCGGCGTTAAACAAATACATAAACTGTCACGAATGGGTATTTGAAAATCATAAACTATGTATCACATATTATAAAGGTTAACATTCCAACGAAAGAAATATAATTGCAAAGCATTTTATTTATCAAGTACATAATAATCATCATCTTTTACACATCACAATCACAATTCTTTAATCCTATGGAACCATTTACACAAGAGAAGTTACATACTGATGCAGATACACACATCCAGGAACGCAAGCTCAGACATTCTGTTTTAGGAACGACGCCACATGACGTTATCCGTGACATCTTTAATTTTGCAATGCACTACTAGTGTTTGACATTTCATCCTTCTGATGTGACTAAGTCGGGACCCGTGAAGATCCGGGCTAGAATAGGTCTTCAGCAACCCATGCTTGCCGTAAAAGGCGACTATGCTTGTCGTAAAAGGCGACTAACGGGATCGGGTGGTCAGGCTCGCTGACTTGGTTGATGCATGTCATCGATCCCAATTGCGTGGATCGATGCTCATGATTTTACAGACCGCCGTCATATAGCTGTAATATTGCTGAGTGCGGCGTTAAACAACCAACCAACCAACCAACAACCAAGTCGGACACCGGTAAATCTCGACAATACCAATCTCGACGTAAGAACCTCAGCAGTGAAAGCAAACGTTACTGTTCAATCGAATAACGCACTACGGATATACCGAACTGATCTATTAGGTAAACTACACGTCGTGACATCCTGATATGCTCTTATACAAAACGTTTCTTTACATTCACACACTCATCCATACGTCATAATTTAAATGTCATTTATATAAAAATGCTTATAAGATAAAATTGGCCATTCCTGGCATGGCTCGTGTTGAAAGCGCGCTGGGTTCGCATGCTGAGACGGCCTCGTGACTAGGCCTCGATGACGTCAGAGCGGCACATGGACACCGTGAACTGTAAGGTAAGTGAAGATGTATTATAAAGGTGGACACAATAAACTGGGTCTTTATACTCAGTCCTGATGAATATCTATCGTACTACTACTACTACTACTACTACTACTACTACTACTACTACTACTGCTGCTGCTACCGCTACTAATACCACTACTACTACTAAAGGCACTACCACTAGTACAACTAATACTACCACGAAAGTCCTACCCTATATACTATAACATGGACCTACGATAATCCTACCCTATATACTATAACATGGACCTACGATAACCCTACTCTATATACTATAACATGGACTTACGATAATCCTACCCTATATACTTTAACACAGATTTCAATACAATGATTTTGTTGTTTTCTGTCAAGCAATCGGTCGGTCCAGTTGTCTGCCAACTGCGGATCTCCGGAATCCATATAGTGAAATCAAATCAACATCATCTAAAATATATAGTGTTCTGTCCCTGAAAACACGTTCTCATGCTGTTCATTTTATTTGTGGCATCTAATACAGACGCATGAGTCGTCATGGTTTGTTTGTTTTCAATTGCGAGGCAGGAGCTACTTTAGTAGCGCCCTGGAGCTTTCGTCGATGTAGAGTAATTTTACGACGCAGCGCGAACTACCAGGTCATTGTGAAGCGGCCTTAATAGTTATGATGTGGTTTGGAGTGAGTGAGTGAGTTGGATTTAACGCCGCTTTTTAACAGTATTCCAGTTATATCGCGGCGTGTCAGCTTAATGTGGGAGGAAAGCCCGAGATGATGCAGGTCTTAGACGTTTACCACTTCGGTGAAACCCACGAGCACGGGTATGGTGCTGACAAATCTAGAAACATAATCAGGGCGAACCGGGATTCGAACCCACGATCATCGGTTTCTGGCGTGCCCAAGGGACGCAACTCTGCACAGCGAATCGCGGCGCCTTAGACGACTGGGCCACCCGTGCCCCTATGTGGTTTAGAAGTCGTTCAGGAGGTCGAAGCGCGAAGAGCGTTTCGTAAAATGTCACCCTGCCTTCTGTATGCTCACCTCGTCAATTTCTCCTGTAAAGTTGTCATAGCCTGTGCCCCGCCCCACCTGCATGGCGCACTGGCTCTTGGCAATGTCACCTGGAAAACAAAGTGATCAATTGAAAAGCTAAGATGGTGGTGATGTCCCATATACAAGAGCTACAGACAAGCTAAGATGGGTGTGTCCCATGTACAAGAACTACAGATAAGCTAAGATGGTGGTTTTGTCCCATATACAAGAGCTACAGGGAAGCTAAGATGGTTGTGTCCCATATACAAGAGCTACAGATAAGCCAAGATGGGTGTGTCCCATGTACAAGAGCTACAGATAAGCTAAGATGATGGTTTTGTCCCATATACAAGAGCTACAGGGAAGCTAAGATGGCGGTGTTTTCTTTCGCATGTACAAGAGCTACAGATAAGCTAAGATGGCTGTGTCCCATATACAAGAGCTACAGACAAGCTAAGATGGTGGTGTCCCATATACAAGAGCTACAGACAAGCTAAGATGGTGGTGTCCCATATACAAGAGCTACAGACAAGCTAAGATTGTGGTTTTGTCCCATATACAAGAGCTACAGGGAAGCTAAGATAGCGGTGTTTTCTTTCGCATGTACAAGAGCTACAGACAAGCTAAGATGGTTGTGTCCCATATACAAGAGCTACAGACAAGCTACGATGGTTTTGTCCCATATACAAGAGCTGCAGACAAGTTAAGATGGCGGGGTTTTCGCATGTACAAGAGCTACAGGTAAGCTAAGATGGCGGGGTTTTCGCATGTACAAGAGCTACAGACAAGCTAAGATGGCGGGGTTTTCGCATGTACAAGAGCTGCAGACAAGCTAAGATGGCGGGGTTTTCGCATGTACAAAAGCTACAGACAAGCTAAGATGGTGGGGTTTTCGCATGTACAAGAGCTACAGACAAGCTAAGATGGCGGGGTTTTCGCATGTACAAGAGCTGCAGACAAGCTAAGATGGCGGGGTTTTCGCATGTACAAAAGCTACAGACAAGCTAAGATGGTGGGGTTTTCGCATGTACAAGAGCTACAGACAAGCTAAGATGGCGGGGTTTTCGCATGTACAAAAGCTACAGACAAGCTAAGATGGTGGGGTTTTCGCATGTACAAGAGCAACAGGTAAGCTAAGGTCTTGTCAGATATTCATTACCTGGACAGGAAATGTTTTTAGTCTTGCTTCCAACCTTGGCCGTCATGTTACCGCCGTACAATGTCAGTCTACAGTTAGTCATAGACCGGCTCCTGTAACCCACGACGGTCTGGAAGAAAAACATATTCCATTACAATAAAAAATCAGTTTCATAGTGGTCAAAACTCCTGACCTAAAGGAAAAATGAGTAAGTGAGTGAGTTGGGTTTAACGCCGCTTTTAACTCTATTCAAGTTATATCACGGCGTGTCAGCTTAATGTGGAAGGAAAGCCCGACGTGATGCAGGTCTAAGACGTTTATCACGAACACGGATATGGTGCTGACAAACTAAGAAACAATATAAGGTCGAACCGGGATTTCAACCCATTATCAGAGGTTTCTGACGTGTCCAAGGGACACAACTCTGAACAACGAATTGCATAAAGCCACCTGTAGATAAGATCCAGTACAAGTTAAGGGTGATATAACACAGGTGAGACTCGATAAAAGAGCATCTCGTTCTTCCATATATATAGTTTGTGTCCCAGACCCCAAAGAATATATTTAAAAAGGAGACCAGTTCAGTCTAGAAAGATTTGGCAAGACTGGTCCTGAAATTAAGGATTGTTCTGGGCTCCATTTGGATTTTGATATTTATATTTTGTAGATATATATTATTAAATAAGATTACTTTTTATCTGAGACTTAATGCCAGTCTACCAGGTCTACAGTACTTTGGGATGAGGAGAACCAGCCTTTGACACAGTGAAACCTCGTTCATCCGGACGGGACCCCAGTAAATCGATCAGAGTTAGGTAAATATATAATTCCGGATTAACGAGTCTCGATTGTTGAGAAGTGTCCTGTGTATGTATGTATTCGTCCCTATAGGTAATCGCTATAAAAACTAGGAATCCCGACTAACAGGGTTTCGCTGTAATCTCCTAACATAACAGCCTGGTCTACTCACTTCGTAGGGCAAAGAGAGCGTACATTCCGCCTCATTCTTGTTCCTCAAAATGAATTCCACCGTCGACGATGTCTGAATGATGTAGATGGACCCCTGTCGACCACAGTCGGCATTGCTGACGATAGCCTGTGGTCTGTCGGTGTTTTCGCCCCTCCGCAGAGAGAAAGATATGACGAGCGTGCTGCCGATGTCGACGTTAGAGAAACGAGGGATGCGGAGTCCAGAGTCGCGAGAGAAGGAGGCAGCACCGTCATTGATGGTGACGCCTTCGTTCTGGATGTAGGTGTAACGTCCGGAGTAGTCGCTGAGGTCATCGTTGCAAGGGAGGTACACTTCCGGTTGGCACACTGCGGTAGCTGTAATACAATGCACTCTTGAAACTGACCCTCCTGAATCGGGTACTACAGAGGCAATATAACTCATAAAATTATCATGGTTGGTTGGTTGGTTGGTTGGTTGGTTTGTTGTTTAACGCCGCACTCAGCAATATTCCAGCTTTATGACGGCGGTCTGTAAGTAATCGAGTCTCGACCAGACAATCCAGTGATTAATATCATGAGCATCGAGCCACGCAATTGGGATCGATGACATGCGTCAACCAAGTCACCGAGCCTGACCACCCGATCCCGTTAGTCGCCTTTTACGACAAGCATAGTCGCCTTTTACGGCAAGCATGGGTTGCTGAAGACCTATTCTACCCATGAATCTTCGCGGGTCCATAAAATTATAGTTATAACACTCCGATATTTGTATATAGGCATGGGAATAGGAAACTGGAAACTGCGTCGTTTGAACATGACGTCATCCTGTTACTTTTTAACAAGGCGATCGCAACTTGCAAACTATAAAAACGAATTAGGTTGGACTTTAAATCAAATCGCCACTGTGACCTGCAGGCTTGAGAATTTTTTCAGAATCTGTGAGCAACCATGTGATATGGGTGAAAAATCACATTTTGACTTCTTATTATTTTTTTAAACTGCAGGAACTTAGCCATACAAAAATAAACTTCACAAGCTTCAATTCATATTTATTACTGAGATCTATGGCATCAAACATTTGGACTCATTTTCTGCAAAGTCCAAATTTTCCGACCAACAGCTGTTTATGTGATGATTGCAGATTTTAAATATAATATCTGATCGTTTGAAAGTACACATGTATGCTGACATTTTTGAAATAGTGTTTTTATTACATAACAAACGAACGAGAAACGCGTAAGAATGTTGACGTCAAACGTCTTTATGACGTCACAGCACAATTGTATCCTGGTACCCATAGCGTCCCTTTTCTCCTGGTGGGACACATATATTTTACATAGTGTTTTTATAGATTCACTCACCAGACGCAGATGTGGTTGTGACGGCGGGGACGACAGAGACGTTTGACGCGATACATCGACATCCGGCGACACGAAACTCTGTTCCAGTAGGACATGGTCTCTCCATCCAACCGTGACCACTTACGAACTGTTCGTACACAGCCGTGTTCCCGACAACCTCCCGACAATCGGAACTAGCTGCTGATGTTGTGGACTCTGAAACGTGAACGGTTGCCATGAGAACGGCCTCATCACCTGTCTACTTTGAAAAGCTATTTGTCGTCATTTTCTGAATGTGACATACGCTACGGTGACTACACCGAAAAATAAATGAAAATTTATCCCCGGTATGCCATGCTATGCTATGCTACACAACGCAACGCTACGAACCCATATGCTATGCTATGCTATTTTACGCTACGCAATGTTACTAAACCATATGCTATGCTATGCTATGCTACACAACGCAACGCTACGAAACCATATGCTATGCTAGGCTATTTTACTCTACGCAATGTTACAAAACATATGTTATACTATGCTATGCTATGCTATGCTATGCTATGCTATGCTATGCTATGCTATGCTACACAACGCAACGCTACGAAACTATATTCTGTGCTATGCTATTATACGCTACGCAGTGTTACGAAACCATATGCTATGCTATGCTATGCTATGCTATGCTATGCTATGCTATGCTATCTTCATTAAATTAACCAAAAATTAATTCAAAAGTTAGCTTTAACAAAGATTTATATTACAATAACTCCAAAGAAAATAAACAAGAAATATACACAAAAGCTTTACAATTAAATTCAAAATTCACAAAATGTGTGAACGGTATCATGGACCGTATACTATCAGAAATATGTCCTTCGTGTAAATAGTAACCAGTCCGCTACCTGGGCATGGTTCTGTATTGCAGACTTGGGACGTCACATCACTGGCAGACCCTGCGCAGTACCCCCCACCATAGGCAGGAGTAGGGTTAGTGCAGGTGCGACCCCGGGACACCGACCTCGAGCCACCCCCACAAGTTGCTGAACACGGGGTAGCCGTCGACGCCCACTCTGACCATCCTCCGTGCACTACAATAAAGGAATAAAACGTCAGTAGTTTCTACAACGTCGTATACGGCGAACCGGTACTAGTTGTAGTAGTGCTTTATCAGGGGTTATTAAAAATAATCATTGTTCCATTTTTCTTTTTTTGGGGGGGGAGGGATTTGATAAAAAATGAAAACGATTCCAGGCAAAAACGTTTTTTGTCTTGAAATAGTGACCCCAACATATAACGTCTGTACCGAAAATTCAAGCTAGTTCTGCGGGGTTTGAGCGGTAGCGCATCTCTTACCTGGGCAGTGGCTAGTACTGCAAGATTCTGTGTACGTCGCCGACGTTGCTCCTACACACGACTGTCCTCCATGTTGGGGAGGTGGGTTGGTGCAGGTCCTGGTCCTGGAGATGGTTCTAGATCCTCCTCCACAGGATGCAGAACATACGGTCACTGCATCCGTCCACAGAGCCCAGCCTCCATTGACTGCAATAATACAAGTTAGCATACATCACACGTGGTTATAACCCTGCTATGACAGCAATAATACAAGTCAGCATACAGCACACGCGGTTATAACTCTACTATGACTGCCATAATCAAAGTTAGCATACAGCACACGCGGTTATAACTCTGCTATGACAGCATAATAAAAGTTGACACGCAGAAAGTGCGATAAATCTAAGATTGAATTATTACTGTGGTTTTTTTTCAAATATGTTTAGGCCACACAGTTACATTGTCCGTCTGATTGGTCAAGCTTGCGCCGACTAGCTTAGTTGTATTGTGACCATATGTTGCCTGGACGTCCAACACATGTGTCATGGTCGGCGTTCCCATCTCCCTGAGCTGAAGTCGTTATATAAATACTGTTTACCATTAGCTGTGATTTATGACTAAATTAGTGAGTGAGTGAGTTGGGTTTAACGCCGCTTTTAACATTATTCCAGTTATATCGCGGCGTGTCAGCTTAATGTTTTCGAGGAAAGCCCGAAGTATTGCAGGTCTAAGACGTTTACCACTTCGGTGAAACCCACGAGCACGGGAATGGTGTTGACAAACCAAGAATCATAATTGGGGCGAATCGCGGCGCCTTAGACGACTGGGCCACCCGTGCCCCTTCATGACTATATGACATGATGTATCTATATGCTTCATAGTTGCTTACCAGGAATATGTACATATGAAGTGTCACAGCGACACAGGGCGGCTTTAAACTCGGTTCCAGAAGGGCATGGCCTGTTCAACCACCCGTGACCATTGACATACAGCTGGTACACAGCCTTGTTGCCGGCAACCTCCCTCTTTCCATTACAAGCACTAGGGGCGGCTGTTGTTGGTGCTGAAACAATGAGTGAGTGAGTGAGTGAGTATGGTTTTACGCCGCTTTTAGCAATATTCAAGCAATATATGAACAGGGGAACAAGAAATGGGTTCATACATTGTACCCATGTGGGAATCGAACCCGGGACTTCGGCATGACGAGCGATCCCTTTAACCACTAGACCACCCCATCGCCCCCTGAAACAATTTTCCATATATACGCTGAAGATGTGCCTTGATTTTAGTGCACCCGATGAGGCTGGAATTGTCAACGTTCGACTTAACTGATACTGAAGTATATCAGCTTTTTCATTCCCTTATAAACACTCCGACCGCCTCCGTGGTCTAGTGGCAGAGCGTCCGCCCGGAGAGCGGAAGGTCCGGGGTTCGATTCCCGGCCGCGTCATACCAAAAGACGTTAAAAGATGGTACTTGTTGTTACCCTGTCTGGCGCTCGGCATTAAGGGGCTAAAACAAGGACTGGGCGGCTCGGAGTCAGTATACTGTGTCTGAGTGGGATATTCATGTTAAACTGAGGCATGGTATCTCAGTGAGCTAGCACTATAAATCGGCATCAGTCCGGACTAGTACAAGCAGCCACACACACACACATACACGTGCATGCACGTCGCTATATAAGTGCAATAATCTTGGACGCGACGTTAAACCCCATTTCACCTCACCTCGTCTCTAAACTATCCATTCATTGTAACGTTCTAGATCCATACTAAAATAACACGTCAACGCCAGAGAATGATCACTCTCGATTACCTGCCGAAACAGATTCCTTCGAGCGTAAAGGCAAAATAGTGCTAAAAATTACATGAGTGAGTGAGTTGGGTTTAACGCCGCTTTTAACAGTATTCCAGTTATATCACGGCGTGTCAGGTTAATGTGGGAGGAAAGCCCGAAGTGATGCAGGTCTTAGACGTTTACCACTTCGGTGAAACCCACGAACACGGGTATGGTGCTGACAAAACCTAGAAACATAATCGGGGCGAACCGGGATTCGAACCCACAATCATAGGTTTCTGGCGTGCCGAAGGGACACAACTCTGCACAGCGAATCGCGGCGCCTTAGACGACTGGGCCACCCGTTCCCCCTAAAAATTACATGACTGAAGCACTGAAAGTCCATGCAGACACCAGGTGTTCGTGAAAAGAGTCAATCTCTTTAAAATCAGATCTTAGTTTTCGCTACCGCTAAACAAAGATCTGAGGACATCCCATTACGGGTCAGGTCAGAACGACCTTTCGCGAATTTTGACCGACCAATTACTGACAAGAAATCGACATTGGCCAATAAGAAGGCAGCTTTCTCGAGCTTTACGACACTAGTTTCAAACTGACGACTACGCTTCGAAAAATATTTTGACGTATTCTCGGTTAAAAAATTTAAAACTGATAAGAAGAACATTCTGGAATGGCTTATAGATGCATAGATTGTATGGATATAATCATAAAACCTGTTACTGTCGTTCGGAATACCCCGTGTTAATAAATCGTGATTGCATGATTATACAACACATTACCTGGAGATGGGGAACCGCATGAAACAGCACTAGCAAGTTTACAGGTGAGGTCGGTCTGGTCCCAGAGCGTCCCGGGGGCACACGGCCTGACGATGGGCTGGGAGCCTTCCTCCCAACACTGAACGTACCTAGAGCAGTCAGAGGGGTAGGGCATATACCCGATACCATTGGCATACAGGCAGCCGTCACACAGGTCCACTGGAACAAAGAACAACGACGCTATTAACCAATAATAAAGCAAAACAATAAAAAAGTAATAAGTTAGTGGAGGATCTGTTGATTTTAAACCACGATTCTCTCTTGGAGTATACACGGTATGGCAAGACTGTGAAACCAGGATTGCGTGAAATCATTTCAGTAATTTCATGAAAACCCTGTTTTTGACAAGTTTATATAATCCCTAAAATATTTAGGGAAATATCCTAGCATCGAATCTAGAAAGGTTAAACGATTGTCTTCGGAACTGCAAACGAGGGAGTGTATGAATGTTCTTTTACGTCGCATCCAGCAAGGAAAATGATCAAGTTTCATAAGCTGTACACAACCGTGTAGGTCAACCTGTGGTTTCATTGCACGATCAATGCTTTCGAGGCTCGGTGACACTCAATCAACCACGTCACACACAGCTTAGTATCTCAACGAATGACTTTAAGCACCAATCATTAATACGTGTCCCTCCACATGTATATGGTATCGATTCTAGTTTAGTCCCCGAAGTTAACAGAACATTTACGGGGGATATCTGTTTCCCGTGATAGAATATATACCTTGACATTCATCAGCGTTACAGCTCGATGTAGAACTCTGGGTTGACTCTCCTACACAGTCCGCTCCGCCGTTGCTTGGAGCAGGGTTGGTGCAGGTCCTCGTCCTGGTGATGGTTTGAGATCCTCCTCCACACGACGCTGAACAATCTCCGGTTAGAACCGTCCACACAGACCAGCTTCCATTTACTATAACGACATAGTTATTCACGTCATTATTTAAAAGCTATCGGTCTGTACATTATATCTGTAACGCTGATGCACACATTACTCGGTGAACGTGTTACATCTTACATTAAGGCGTCAAGCGGAAGGATAATAAATCTACCTGGACATCCACCAGAGTTGCACTCTTCTGAATCCTCCTCTTTCGACTCTCCTACACAGTCCTCTCCACCGTTGCTGGGAGCAGGGTTGTTGCAGGTCCTCGTCCTGGTGATGGTTTGAGATCCTCCTCCACAAGATGCTGAGCACGTGGATGTAGATTCAACCCATTCACTCCAGCTTCCGTGTACTACAATAATGTATATTTCACGTCATCATCTAGAAGCTAAATGACTTACGTTAATAGTGTTTAATTCATTATGGATTACGGTGATGCACATAGTATACAGGGTGCCAAGCTGAAAGCTCTTTGAACCTTACCTGGACATCCACCAATATTGCAGGTTTTGTTAGTGACCTTGGTCGCGGGCCCCACACAGTCCTCTCCACCGTTGCTGGGAGCAGGGTTGGTGCAGGTCCTCGTCCTGGTGATGGTTTGAGATCCTCCTCCACACGACGCTGAACAATCTCCGGTTAGAACCGTCCACACAGACCAGCTTCCATTTACTATAACGATATAGTTATTCGCGTCATTATTTAAAAGCTATCGGTCTTGTCTGTACATTATATCTGTAACGTTGATGCACACATTACTCGGTGAACGTGTTACATTTGACATTAAGGCGTCAAGCGGAAGGATAATAAATCTACCTGGACATCCATCAGAGTTGCACTCTTCTGAATCCTCCTCTTTCGACTCTCCTACACAGTCCTCTCCACCGTTGCTGGGAGCAGGGTTGGTGCAGGTCCTGGTCCTGGAGATGGTTCTAGATCCTCCTCCACACGACGCTGAACAATCTCCGATTGTAACTGTCCACTCAGACCAGTTTCCGTCAACTGTAAATGTTTGAAATAACTGGCTTATAACCATATAATTCTACTGTTCGAAATACGCTCAAAATGGAGTGAAAGGTTGATATTGTCGCAATTGTTTGAATGGCAATGTTTTTCAAACTATTTCCGATTTATTTAAAATTTCATTAAAAAGAGGAGATCATCAGTACACACCTCTGCACACTCTCTGGACCAGGGCTAAAACATTGTCAAGAAGTTCATCAAAGTCATTCAGCTTCAAGACATTTCCCAGGGAGGAGGCGATACCGTTAAGTTCTGTTGTGTTGATGGAAAATCCGACCCCGACAGCAAACATGTTGAGCCCTGCTTTTCTGGCGGCAGCTGCAGCAGTTTGGGTTGCTGCCGGGTTCTTAGATCGCCCATCGGTGATGACGATGCCGACCTTGGGAACATCAGCACGGCCCTGATTCTGCATCATGTCAGTCATCCTCCGAATACCGAGATGGGTTGCTGTCCCGTCCTTGGGGTGGCCAAACTGGGAGATCTCTGACCTCAGGGCAGCACTATTGCTGCTGAGTGCTGCTGTTTCAGAAACAGTTGAACTGTACACAACAGCTCCAAACATCGTTCCTGTCTCACTCAGGTCGAGAGCATCCGATATCTGTATTACGGCCTTCTTCAGTTTGCGGAAATCGGCATCATCGATACTGTCGGAGCCGTCGACAACGGCAACAACATCAAGCAGGTTCTTGCACCCTTTGATTAAAAAATATATAGCAATGAGAATGGACATAGCATCACTTTATATGGGATGCTCTGAAGGCTCCCACCATTCTCATCTCTTAGATCCGTTGTCCCTTAAATTATTCTCGTAAATGGGGCGACGCATGACTCTTTACTTTTATCCAGATATAAAACATAAAGTGAACAGTTTTAGCAGCCGATACATTCCTTACGAACATCTGGTGTCATAACGTGGACACAATTTATGGATAAAAACTTCCTTATTTCACTATAATGGCGACGTTTAGGTATAGATCTCTGCTTGACAACGGTATAAGGATTTATACCAAAACGTTGCCATAACAGTAAAATAAGGACATGTTTATCCATAAATTGTGTCTATACTTTGTCATCCGTAAACTCCTAAGAAATGCCTATCAGACAATGCATCTGGTGTCATCACTAATTTTCATTGATTCTTTCATATAATTATCACCGCAAACACATATTTGATAAAGATAGATGGTGACGGCCTGCTTCATGCCAAAGATTCTTCAAATAATGGTGTTAAAAGTAACGTTTTTAGTGGTACAGCACTACGTCCCTTGTTCGATTGTCTCCCTTTCGGGATTGATCAGATTCAAATCTCTGAGGTGGTTTCCGTCAGTTCAAAAACAGACAATCAAGAGTCATCTTCCGGGAACTTCAGACAGCTACAATATCGCCAGCATTACACGACATCTACATCAATGTATACTCACTTGGTGACATACTTGTACAGGCTCCACCGCCGATGAATAACGCCAGCCACAGCAGAACCACGGGACTCGTCAACTTTATATTACCCATCACTGATAAGGATACAGAACAGAACATGAAGTCCAGACGTTTAAGCTGTGATAATAAATAGTTAACTAGAGTACGGGTATAAGAGAATATGATTTTACGCCGCTTTTGGCATTATCACAGTTATACCACGACTGGGGAAAGTACAAAACAGGCTTCACACATTGTACACACGTTGGGAATCGAACCCGGGCCATCGGCGTGAAGAGCGAACGCTTATGCACTAGGCTACCCGACGCCCCTATTCATGTATGGGCGTTATTAAAAAACAAAACAAAACAAAAAACGGCAACAACATCATGCAGGTTCGGTCATCCTTTGAAAACAATATATAGAAATAAGACTGGACCTAACATTACTTTTAGGGAATGCTTTATATGGGATGCTCTGAAGCCTCCCACCCATTAAAAAGCACTTTTACAGTTGTACACCAAACAGGAACTGTCATGGCAAGATGTTAACAGCAGTTATCAGCCCTTGTTGTGTACATGAACAGGACTTGTTTGATCGTCCGAGAAATTTCTGGATGTGACATTTATTAAAGGCATATATAAGAGCGACAGAGGTCAATTTGAGGCCTTTAAGACCTGACCCGACCAGTTTCTAATTTACTTGTCAAGTGTAGTTTTGATACCTATTTGTAGACATCGCATTCCTGCCACTTTCAACACTATTTAGGATTCACGAACTGAGAAAGGCATCTTTCAAGTCATTCAACAGTGAAAAAAGTGAGTGCAATAACATTAACCCTATGGCCTGTTACTTCTTGCGTCACCTATTGTATTGCCTTCTTTATCGTAAACATAAAACTGCGTGATTTAATATTATTTATTGATTATTCATTGATATTAAGTCTTCATTTAATTATTTATTGATTTTGTATTTATTAGGTTTAATGGTTTTTAACGGTACAAACCCGGGTTATTTTCTGAGTTGAAACCACTCTCATGAAATACGAGTTGGCAACATGCTTCACATCAAAATACAATGCTGAATGAGTATGGGGCCATAATGTTGAAGAGCAGGTTCAGATAAATTACTTGATCAAGCAAATTGAAGTCGTTAAAGCATCATTTGGTCAGCATAGTCATGGTCTATAATGTAAATCAATGTACCAGTTAATACTTTGAATAGAACTTCAGCAACCAATGCTTGCCGCAAAATGCGACTATGCTTGTCGTAGGAGGCGACTGACGGGATCGGGTGGTCAGGCTTGCTGACTTGGTTGATCCATGTCATTGCGTGGATCGATGCACATGATGTCAATCACTGGATTGTCTGGCCCACACTCGATTATTTACAGACCGCTGTCATATAGCTGGAATATTGCTGAGTGCGGCAAACAACAAACAAACAAACCATATAAATACAATGTCTCAGTGTTACTCGTGGCTGCAACATCTGGACCAACACGGGATGTGACCCGTGAAGATTCGGGGTAGAATAGGTCTTCAGCAAACCATGCTTGCCGTAAAAGGCGACTATGCTTGTCGTAAGAGGTGACTAACGGGATCGGGTGGTCAGGCTCGCTGACTTGGTTGATGCATGTCATCGATCCCAATTGCGTGGATCGATGTACATGATGTAAATCACTGGATTGTCTGGTCCAGATTCGATTATTTTCAGACCGCCGTCATATAGCTGGAATATTGCTGAGTGCGGCGTTAAACAACAAACAAACAACACGGGATGCTGACACCAGAGTGCAGACCATTGTAAATAATGCCACTGGTCATCAGCTCAGGTTATAATTGTTTAGGGTACTTCACCTACCTGTGGTGCGTTCTCTTCCAGAAATGTTTCGTTAAGTCTGCAATCTGAAGACTCTCTGTTGGTTTGTGATGGCGAGAGAGGCATATATATACCAATACACACTCCCACATGCCCATAGCAATTCTTGGAAGTCATCACAATGATACAATGACGTCATGCTCAGTTCTCATTGGCTGATGCCCCTCTGCCTCGTTTCAGCATGATATTTTCTTACAGTTATCTCTTACCAAATTACCATAAAGTATTGTTAAAGGTATTGTCATTTGTTAAAGTTGCTATTTTCGGACTGGAAGCCGGATTGGGAGAGTTGTTGTTTTGTTGAGAAACTACTCAACCAGAATTACCCTGACTAGGAGGAGGAGAAGGGGGCGGGGATTTACAAAGGGGAGGGCGAATGTCTTGTCCTCTCTACCCTGTACCCGGATAGGTTGTGGGACGAGGCACTGTCAATTGGCAGACGCTGTATCCGGTTTTTCAAAGAACACCATAATGGTCCTGTAAGACAATCCTTGTGGTGTAGATCGGTGTCAAGTTAATCCTACTGTGAACATGGGCACCAGACCATGACGACAACCCACCCGGAGCTCAGTGATAACGCGATCATTTACTACTACAGACGCAATGACAAACAGCCAGCTATTCCCGTGCGACTGAGTTTATCCAGACGGTCAGATTCTGCTGTTTGGATGACCGGACGTTCGCGTTCCTGTCCAGAAGTATTGTATTCCCCATTTAGGACAATTGTAACTGTCCGCCGGACAATCAACTTATCAAATATTCGGCAGGATTCCTGTTTAAAGACGTGAAAATATAAATTTGCTCTTCTTAATAAGGTACAGTTGAAAAATAATACACTTTTATCTTTGAAATGTTGTACAAAAAATCGGACCGAACAACTGCGTAATCATATGGCATAATATGATTTGCCTTAAACAGTTAAACAAAACAGTTTTAACTTTTACACCCTATGGAATGTTTTGCGGCATATATTCGAGTCTGATTATTTTTTGGAACTTACGGTTTGAACTGAACGAGAAGTAAATTGAATCTGTTCATCTCCCGAATTTGGCAATCAGCATGTTATTTCAGGATGGGTTTGCAATCCTGTTTCATCTAAAAACATGTACGTGTTAATACTGTGAATATATTTGCCAAATAAAGTTCCTTTCACTCTTTCCTTCCTACAGCATGTGGTAGTTGGGAAGTGGTAAAGATGAGGTGAAAAGGGGTTCAACGTCGCGTACAAGATTATTGCACTATATAGCGGCGTGCATGCACGTGTGTGTGTGTGTGGCTGCTTCCGTTAGTCCGGACTGACGTTAGTCCGGACGATTTATAGTGCTAGCCCACTGAGATACCATGCCGTAGTTTAACATGAATACCCCACTCAGACACAGTATCCTGACTCCGTTCAGTCCTTGTTTAAGCCCCATAATGCCGAGGACCAGACAGGGTAACAACAAGTGCCATCTTTTAACGTTTTTTGGTGTGACGCGGCCGGGGATCGAACCCCTTCCGCTCTCCGGGCTGACGCGCTACCACTGGACCACGGAGGCGGTCGTAACGTGTGAGTCTTACGGGGCCACGTAAACCATGTTGCCATGAATATTCCATGAGTTAGAGAGATGATCTATGTAAATTATTTCTTTGATTGTTTGTTGTTTAAACGCCTCACACAGCAATATTCCAGCTATATGACGGTCTGTTAATAATCGAGTCTGGACCAGACAATCCAGTGATTGACATCATATCTTACGATAAGCGTGGGTTGCTGAAGCCCTTTTCTACCCCGGATCTTCACGGGTACTTTGTAAATTAAATGACGAATACTAGACTATATCAAGTGCGGATTTCGAGAAAACGGATAACATGCTGTGAAGTTTGGATCAGGCATAGGTGTAAAGATCATATTTGAAAAAAGTTTACAAATACATACAAAGTGCATGTACGCGGATATGATACCTAAGAGCCCATATATATGCAAAACATGAGTTGAATATCTACCATATACTTGTTTCTTGGAAAAGGGATATAATATTTTTTTTGAATTAAAATGAAATCACTGCTGATTATTTCAACACATTAAGATAATGTAGTCTGTAGTCAAGTCGTCTGAGGCGTCGAATCTCGATTTTCAGAGTTGCCTCCCTTGGGTACTCCAGAAACTTGTGATTGTGGGTTCGAATCCCGGTTCGCCCCGATTATGTTTCTAGGTTTGTCAGCACCATACCCGTGCTCGTGGGTTTACCAAAGTGGTAAACGTCTGAGACCTGCATCACTTCGGGATTTCCTCCCACATTAAGCTGCCACGCCATAATATAACTGGAATACTGCTCAAAGCGGCGTTAGACCCAACCCACTCACTCACTTCCAAATTTGTACATATAGTATCCTTGCCGAGTTCCTGAAAGGCTAACACTTACACAGGGGTCATTGTTTCTTCCTGTTCAACAACGTTAAATACTTGAATGACATTTATTACAGTCGCATTAATATCATCATAACCTAATAAATCGCTGGTGTCATTCATATCTAGTTTCATTGCATTGATCAATAAGAAGAATATTAGTATAGAGTACGGAGCTATAAGGTCCACTACGTTTTTTCACACATGAACTGAAACATCATGCAAACGAAATACTACTATGTCTCGATGTATGTTTGCATATTTGTATTTTTTAAAGTTTCAAATAGAAAAACAAATTATTAATGAAAACTGGTTCAAATATTTACAAATTATGTGTGTAATTGATTATGATAATATACTCTCCAAAACAGAAACGCAAAGCCAGATTTGTGTGAGGTAAGAAAATTCATTTATACGTAGGATCGGTACAAGGTATTGAGCCAAAATGTTGTGGAGAGAACACGTGGTGATTGTTGTCATCTAAGTTATCGGTACATTGGAAAAGTCCAAGGTGAAGGTCAGCTATCATCAATAAAGCCCCCGTTGGAATCGATAGCGTTCTGACATCTTCTGCCCATGAAAGAGACGAGTATGCGAATCACATCCTGGGGAATGGTAGCCCACTTGGCCTGCAACGCACAAGCCATCTGCTGGGGTTGTGGTTGACGTCGGCGTAGCCGTCTATCCAATTCATCCCACAGGTGCTCTATCGGGTTCAAATCCGGGGATCTGGAGGGCCAGGGGAGAACATTTACGTTGTTGTTGTGTAGACAGGCTCTTGTGATCCGTGCTGTATGCGGTCGAGCGTTAGCCTGCTTGTATACACCGTTGCCGTTGGCGGCAATTGTGATGACGTGTGGTAGGAGAATTTCGTTGATGCAGTCTTTGTTGACGATGTGTCGACTCAATTTGACGCGTCGAACAGGACGTCTTGCTCGTAGACCTGCTGCTCTTAAACGGTTTTGTACGGTCTGGTCGGAGATACTGCGCAGTCCGGGTATTTGGGATGCGTTGAAGTGGCTGTGGTCGTCCTGTGGCGCAGTCGGATGGTTACTCTTGGTCATCCCGACCTTGGCCGATCACGTGTTGACTCATGCTGTTGAACCGACCCCATAGTCTTGTGACGGTGCTGGGCGCTACATTGAAAACCATGGCTACAGCTGATCGGGATTCCCCTGCCTGAAAGCGGCCTATGACGTTGTATTTTTGCACTTAATCTTGGCATTGTGTTGAAATGTCACTGTTCGATTGACACAAATGCCAGGCAATCAAAAATCCTGCACTTTAATACCGTTCATAGTGCTGCTGCACGTGCAGTACGCGCAGCTCCATTGTCCTTTTGTTAATGCACTGGGTGCGTTTTTCCGAATCGTACGTGTTTCCCGACTAATGGTTTACATGTCCTTGGTGTGATCATTTTGATCCGGAAAATTTGTCACTGACACAAAACACATTAAACCTCTTCATTCTGCACCTCCTGGTCAGTTAATTTTGCTTTCATAACCAAAAGTATCCGTTTTGCGTTTCTTCTTTTTGAAGAGTATAACTTCATTGTGGCCTCATTGTGTTATTGTGTGTGTCACGGCACATCGTGATTCAGTGTCATATGAGCATGCCCTTTATGACGAATATTCAACAACACTTTACTCTGTTGTTTATAATCGGCGAAGGGGCGGTCGGGTAGCCTAGTAGTTAAAGCGTTCGCTCGTCACGCCGAAGACCCGGTTTCGATTTCCGACATGCACAAGCCCATTTCTGGTGTCCCTCGCCGTAATATTGCTGGGATATTGGCTGGGATATTGCTAAAAGCGGCGTTAAACCATACTCACTCACTCACTCACTCACTATAATCGGCAAATGTCCAATCATTGACTTGGTCGTCACGGTATGGCTTAAATGATGTCGATGTGACGTTAAATCTTAACTCACTCACTCTTTTGACTTGGCTCTCGTTAAATTATGAATCAGAGCTATTGGTGAGATGGGGCATGTCCTACGAAATTGCACGTCTCCCCACGCACGGACGCACGCACACACACGGGCACACACTCACACACACACGGGCACACACTCACACACACACGGGCACATACTCACACACACACGGGCACACACTCACACACACACACACTCACACACACACACGGGCACACACTCACACACACACGGGCACACACTCACACACACACGGGCACACACTCACACACACACGGGCACACACTCACACACACACGGGCACACACTCACACACACACACGGGCACATACTCACACACACACGGGCACACACTCACACACACACGGGGCACACACTCACACACACACGGGCACATACTCACACACACACGGGCACACACTCACACACACACGGGCACACACTCACACACACACGGGCACACACACACACACACGGGCACACACTCACACACACACGGGCACACACTCACACACACACGCACACATTCCCTGAGAAACGCTCCTATGGGCGGGTAGTGTAATACGGCTACTTTTAGTATACCCGATCAACTATAAAATTACAGCTACTCCCCCACTCCTTCACACCCAGTCCATGGATCCGCTTACTCCTAAAGTCCTAACACTGAATAGCGACACTCCTGTCTCTGTGATTTGCGTTGGAATCAGTACGCATGATGTCCGACGAGAGCTCCGCAACAGCTCACGCTATTCAC